CTTGCTAACTCCCCTTCTTCATCCACAATAAAATGGATATAAACAATATTATCATGAAGGTTACTATAATGGCATTGTTAATATCATCTGGAACAATAAGGACTAAAGGATAGCTTTAAGAAGTCAACATAAATGCAAGTTAATAGGATTTATTCAAGTCTGATATTCTGAATTATTCTCTTCCTCAGGGTCTCAGGTTTTCTATTTTTGTGGGGATTGAGGGGAACTTGTAATTAGAGGTTTAAAATTGTAACTAGGAGAATAATAGGTGGCCCAGTAGTCCTTGAATTCCACTTTAATCTCCTTGTTTGATTGGAATTTGGGATCTGCTAACTTGATACTGACAGCCTTGCAGGAAAAGGCATAAGCAGAGAAGTGTTGTACTGGGAGTAGGGCATCAGAATGCCCGACTAGACATATTGATTGTATATGATGTTCAGGGGAGCCTACCACTTAAGCCAGGCTTGGACTTGGTTTTTCCTTATTTTCAAAAAACCGGTAGTTTACCAATTTACTTTCTTGTTGCTGATCTTATTTTTGTGTTTCATGATCAAAAGAATACATGGATAGGAGTTATATATTTTAATCAAAAGAATACATGGAAAAAATTATATTACTTATTTAATTATTTGAAGCAATTCCTTTTCTATGTCAAAAAGTGCCTCAGCATCTAGATGTCAATGGCTCAGGGAAGGGGATGGCAATATCAGTTTGCTCCACATGTTGGCAAATGGAAGAAAGAGGAATAACTCAGTGCTGAAATTGGAATGGAATAGGCAAGTATTGACAAGAGATGAAGACATAGCTCAAGCCTTTGTCAATCATTTCAAGACACTCTATGAGTGCCTGAGGAGCTCAAGAGAAGACTTAGAGGGCCTGGAATGGAGAGCTGGAAATAGAGATTTGATGGAATCCTTGGAAAAGAAGTTTGAGGTTCAGAAAGTGAAAAATGCAGTYTTCTCAATGGAGAAATCTAAAGCCCCAGGTTTTACAATGGCATTCTATCAAAACTGCTAGGAGATAATCGAGGATGATCTTATGGAGGCTTTTGATGAATTCTATGAGAGGTGAAAATTTAATTCAGGTGCAAATGCAACTTTCATTGCTTTGATACCAAAGAAAGTGGATGCAATCCAGCCGAAGGACTTTAGGCCTATAAGTCTGATAGGAAGTGTGTACAAAATCATTTCTAAGCTGCTGGCCCTAAGATTAAAAAACATCCTTCCTTCGATGATTTCTCCAAATCAAGGGGCCTTTGTTTTTAGAGAACAAATAATGGATCAAATTCCAATTGCCAATGAATGTGTAGAGTTTAGAAGAAGGAAGAAGCATAAGAGACTGGTTTGTAAGTTGGACTTAGAAAAGACTTATGACATGGTAGAATAGGATTTTCTGATGGACATTCTTTTTTTTTTTTGGATAAATGAATAATGATGGTGCAAGATGTTACCTCCCCTTAGAGGCGAGAGCATAACCAAACTCTTAACAAAATACAATCATAAGGTAGCACAAAATAATTCAACCCTTGAGATCCCTTGTTTGGCCAAAGAATCAACCATTGCATTTGCTGATCTGCTAACCCACTGAAAACTAACTAACACATTCCTTGTGAGCCCAATTAACTTAAGAAGATCCATGTAGCCCCAGAAAACTATTTCAGGATTCAACATCCAGCCCACTACCACCTTAGAGTCTCCCTCAACTATCAGATTTTCCACTCCTAGTTGGTTAGCAAACTGTATTCCTTGTACCACAGCCAGTTCTCAGCCCTTGTAGAATCACCAATACCCGCAGGTCCTGAAAATAGAGATAGAATATTACTACCCTTATCTCTTAAGATCCCTCCTATATCCGAAGGTCTTGGATTACCTTGACTGCTACCGTCAAAGTTCAGCTTTACACCTTTACCACACCCTTTGTAGGAGGTCTCCAATCTACCAATAGTCTATTCTTTTTGGGGGCTGTGGAGGCCACCTCTGCCCAACTTTTCCAAAGATCATAAAAGGAGTACCCTCTAATGGACAATCTTCAGCATAGGGGTTTTGGAGCAAGATGGTGTAAWTGGGTGAAGGGTTGCATTTCTTCATGTCATTTCTTAGTTTTGGTAAATGGAGTAGCAAAAGATTTCTTTACTACTAAAAGGGGCCTTAGTCAAGGAGATCCTCTGTCCCCCTTCCTTTTTACCTTGGTAGCCAATGTTCTAAATGAATTGATTGTTAGGGAAAATGCTAATAATATGACTAGAGGCTGGAGAGTTGGAAGGGTGGAAGTGGTGGTTACACATATACAGTTTGCAAATGATATTATTTTGTTTTGTGAGGGGAAAGCAGAACTTATGAACCTAAAAAGGATAGTACATAAATTTGAGAAGATAACCAACCTTAAAGTAAATTGGGGCAAGAGCTGTGTGGCAACTGGCAAGAGTAAATTTAGGGAGTGAAGTGGATTTGCTAGCTAGTTGGGGTGTGAAGTAGGGGAATGGCCATTACAATATTTAGGAATTAGGATTACAGTTTGTGAGGAAATCCAAATATTGATAGCTTTTGGTATCTAGTAATTAAGAGATTTACAAAGCGACTGGCGAATTGAAAGAGAAACTACATTTCCCTAGGAGGTAGTATAACCCTAATTAAGTTAACATTGGGTAACTTACCCGTATATTTCCTATCTACCTTTTGGATACCAGTGAAAGTGGAAACCCAACAAGAGAATATTATGAGGGACTTCCTTTGAGAACCAAGAGACACCGAAAAAGACCACCTAGTGAAGTGGGAGGTGGTTTCTAATTTCTAGAAGTAGAGATGGAAGAGGTCTAAGAATAGGAAACATCGGACTAAGAAACACAACATTGTTGGGGAAATGGTTATCAAGATTRTCGTTGGAGCAAGATAGACTTTGGCATAGATCTGATTGTTAGCATTCATGGATTGGCAGGCAATGGTTGGGATGCGAGAGTTGACCCTAGGGCTTCTTGATGCTTTCCCTAGAAAGCTATTCATGGTACATTACCTTTCATCYTACCTTACTTCAACTTTGATGCCTRTGCAAGAAATAAAGTGTTGTTTTGGAAAAATGCTTGGGTTGGATAGACTCCCCTTAGTGATAGGTTCCCTACTATTTATTCACTTTCAAAAAATAAAAGAAGAGTGATCCCTTCAGTTTTTCATGATAATTCACAAGACTCGGTGAATTTGGATCAATCTTGTTTGGACAATAGAATTTGGAAACCTTATCCATCTGGTGTGTTCACTTGTTGCTCTTCTTTGATGTCCT